ATGTACCAAGTTCAGGGTCAGGATTAGGTAACCCACAGAGTTCAGGGGTCAGGATTCAGTAATGTACAGTGTTCAGGGGTCAGGATTCAGTAATGTACAGTGTTCAGGGGTCAGGATTCAGTAATGCACAGAGTTCAGGGGTCAGGATTCAGTAATGCACAGAGTTCAGGGGTCAGGATTAGGTAACACACAGAGAACAGGGGTCAGAATTAAATAATGTACTGAGTTCAGGGGTCAGGATTCAATAATGTACAGTGTTCACGGGTCAGGATTCAGTAATGTACAGTGTTCAGGGGTCAGGATTCAGTAATGCACAGAGTTCAGGGGTCAGGATTAGGTAACACACAGAGAACAGGGGTCAGGATTAAGTAATGTACCGAGTTCAAGGGTCAGGATTAAGTAATGCAGAGAGTTCAGGGGGTCAAGATTCAGTAACGCACAGAGTTCAGGGGTCATGATTCAGTAACACACAGAGTTCAGGGGTCAAGATTCAGTAACGCACAGAGTTCAGGGGTCAAGATTAGGTAACACACAGAGAACAGGGGTCAGGATTAAGTAATGTACCGAGTTCAAGGGTCAGGATTAAGTAATGCAGAGTTCAGGGGTCAGGATTCAGTAACGCACAGAGTTCAGAGGTCAGGATTAAGTAACGTATAGAGTTCAGGGGTCAAGATTCAGTAACGCACTTGTTTGGTGGAGTAACAGGGATCATGTCAGCAGTAGTTATTCACAGTCTTGCTTGCAGCATCATCCCTGGATTCGGCAAACCACTCCTGAGACATTGTGAGTATGACCTGGTTTGGGGACTTTCATATATGTCCCTCCTGACCCCCTAGAGCCCCTTCTGTTCAAGTTTTTCTGCAATAAAATTCAGAGGATGAGCGTTCCGTCTATGCCCTCCTGTCATGTTACCACGTAGCCCTGTCTATATCTGTCACAGTGTAACAATCTGTATTTTGTGCTACAAAGTAAATCTGACCATTTTCTCAATTACATGCTACACCCTACCATCCACTATACTATTACCAGCCCCACTGGAATTACTATCTATGGCATTACCAGCACTAATGGATCTAAATCCCATGATTATTACACCCCCCTTTACACACACACTATGGCATTTGTGAAATAACTACTTATTACATCCACAGCTATACTAATATGGAGCCTTAGACGTCTTTGTACATTGACGTACCTCTGCTGTGCAGCCTATGGCGCCATGCTGGCTGCTATTGGAGACAATATGAGGCAACAAACCCATGGTTGCTAAGTTTCTTCTATGGGATTACTGATCTGGAAGCTAGAATGGTGCTCCAGAAAATCTTCCCTGCTTGGTTTTAAATATCAAATGTTCTCTTCCGATAAACTCGTGATGGTATACAGTATATATTTATTTTATTAACAGTTAATGAAAATGATGTATTTCTGTATCGTGGGCTTTTTGCATATGTAAGTATCATTATTAGGGTCCCTTCTGGTCAGCAGCAAAAGAACGGGGCCTTTGACTTCAATTGGCTGTCCTTATCCATGAGGATCTTCTTCCTTGACACTCCCACAAGGGTTCCTTTAGGTCCCATGTACACGGATGGCCTTCAGCATGATTGATGATGGCTGTACATTGCTGGAAGACGTGGTAGACATTGGATCTATGTCATGAGACATTATTTGGGGATGTTTTTTTTAAATAAAGGAATTGTATCCCTTACTCATTCCCTGGGCTTTTTTTTCTCAGAGAATAGGTGCAGGAACAAAACCATGCCCCCCCACCCATTTGGTGGGTGTGCGCAAACTACAGTGGGAGGGTCCTAAATTGGCATTATATACGAGGCACATGTTACACACAGAGTACAGAGTTCAGGGGTGCACTACACACAGAGTACAGAGTTCAGGGATGTGCTAGGAATAGAGGGCAGAATTCAGGGGTGCGCTACACACTGACTAGAGGATTCAGGGGTGTGCTTTAGGTACAGAGTGCAGGGTTCAGGGGTGTGCTATGCACAGATTGCAGGGTTTGGGTGTGTGCTACATACAGAGTGCAGGGTTCAGGGGTGTGCTATGTACAGAGTGAAGGGTTTGGGGGGGTGCTACGTACAGAGTGCAGGGTTTGGGAGTGCGCTATGTACAAAGTACAGAATTCAATGGTGCGCTACACAGAGTGCAGAGTTCGGGGGTGTGCTATGTACAGAATGCAGGGTTCAGTGGTGTGCTATGTGCTTAGTGCAGGGTTCAAGGGTGTGCTACGTACAGAGTGCAGGGTTTGGGGTTGTGCTATGCACAGGGTGCAGGGTTCAGGGGTGTGCTACGTACAGAGTGAAGGGTTTGGGAGTGCGCTATGTACAAAGTACAGAATTCAATGGTGCGCTACACACAGAGTGCAGAGTTCGGGGGTGTGCTACACACAAGGTGCAGGGTTCGGGGGTGTGCTACACACAAGGTGCAGGGTTCGGGGGTGTGCTACGTACAGAATGCAGGGTTCAGTGGTGTGCTATGTGCTTAGTGCAGGGTTCAAGGGGTGTGCTATGCACAGAGTGCAAGGATTGGGGGTCTGCTATGTGCAGGGTTTAGGAGTCCACCACATACAGAGTGCAGGGTTCAGCTATTTCTTCACAGGCCCTTACCTCTGCATCCCCCATCCACATCATTTTCCTCCCCTTCTCAGCTCTGCACCACTTCCCCCATCCCCCAGCTCTGCACCCCCCCCCCCCCCCCCTTCACAGCCCTCTCTTTCCCTTTCACCCATTCCTTCCGTGCATTTTACCTTTTAAAAAAAACCTCCCCTCACTGTAGATGGCTCTACCTCTCTTATTTGCACAATATCATCTGTGAAAGTCGGTATCCATGCACCTGAGAACAGAGGGTGAACATAGTGGGTGCAGCCAACCACATAACGCCCCCTTCCACCCATGACCACATTATCAACGGCATCTTCCTTGTCCATGATGTGAGTGTGGGGCAGGAAGGGGTCGGTGGAGCCACTGGGAGAGGCAAGCTGGCCTTGTAAGTACAGAAGCCTGGCGTCTATATTTACAAGTGATAGTGGTGAACAGGGAGCGGAGGGTGAGAACCAGAGGTGGTGGAACAGAGTTCCATCAAGTTCCTAATGAAAAAAGGGCTCTGCTCATTCCCATGGGAGTGGATATCTGGGGGCCCCACTATTTTAAAGATTTTGATAAGTCCCTCCCAGACCCCCACATCTACAGGGTCAGGGATGTGGGGATGGGGCCCTTGTCTGCATCAACATGGGGATAAGTGCTGTAACGGAATCGGAACCCAGACCATACTGAGTTTTTTTTCCGTTAAGCTCCACTTCCTTGTCTGAACACCATCCTGGAAACACACCACCCACTCTGATCATGCAGGAACATAGAGACAGCACCAAACTCTTCTTAAAACAGGAAGTCAACTCCCTTTATTTTACACCAACAACAACTTATATACACACAGGGCGGGGAAACACAACCAGGAACAGGAAATGCATCATCAGCCCGCCCCATCAGTGGGAAGGGCTACAGTATGGGCAGGAAACACATCATCACCCCTCCCCATCCAACCAAGACACAGAACAATGGGATGCAGCCATGTGGCAAAGGACATTGAGCAACCCCCACACCAATACACAAACAGTACATCCCATAATAGTTTGCTGGCCAGCAAGGCACAATAGAACAATGGGAGGCAGCACGTGCCAGTGAACAATGGACAACCACATGGCAGAGAACAATAAACAATCCCCCCACACCCAATACTCGGACATTCACACCCTGTACCCCTAAACAGGCACAGGGTGGGTTAAACATAATGGGGGGAACATGAGCTGACACAGAGGTCCCCCCACCCCCAAAAGTCACTCCCGTCACAGGTGCCTTGCTATGCCCTTCCCTATGTTTAAGGGCATACATGGCTGCACTTTTGGCACCCCTCCCTTTCCTGAATAGCTATCTCTGAATAATTGGATATAGATGTTGCAGTACCCCAAACAGGAACCTACCATGAGATGATGATGATGATGATGATTTGAGTTCTCCCATACTCGTACAGAGGTCAGCATTACACCAAAGCACAGTCCAAGGCACAATGACACAAGGAGCAGTCTAGGGGAATGTCTTTTTATGATTTATTAGTAGAATTTGAAGAAAAAAGGAGAGGGTGCAGGGTATGGAATACTGTATGGGAGGCTGTAAAGTTCAATAGGAGGACAGTCTACTTGGTGCTATACTTGTTGGGTAGGTGCAGCGTGGTGAGGCAGGAGAAAGCATTAGGAGTTCTGGATTGCCAAAAAAAACGATGCATTGTAGAACTTGTCAAACAAGGCTTACCCAACTGGGGCACTTACAACAGTTCAAGCCAAGTCAGTGTTGTGTAGGCCCAAGCAACAGACAGATCTGTCAAGGATAGCAGAGTGGCTGGTTGGCCTGGCTTGTCCAACCCAAAGGGGAGCTTCCTGCAGTTGAGGACGTAAGCCTTACTCTTTCCCTACTCCCCCAGAACCTCTCCCTACTGATAGTGCTGTCCCTGACAGACGGGTATCTTGTCCCTACACTAGCCACTTGCAAAATGTGCGCTAAAACCTGGGGGCAGAGGCTTAAAAAGACTCCGCATGACCCAAAATGGCTGCCAGGGTCACCTGGATCCAGCACAACAGATCGAATCACCGGTCCAGGGGACCGAGGAAACCATAGAGAAACCCAGTTTTCTCTCGACTTCCTCCTGCAACTGAATTGCCACTACGGATGATCACCACCTGCAGTGAAGACTGTAGTCTGCACCTGCCTAAATATTCCTCAGAGATAATGCTTCTGTTAGGTATCAGGATACGGTTCCCTTAAAGAGACTAAGGGAAGGCCACAGGTAAGAACCCCATAGCAGAAGAACTACTTGGCTCACATTTCCCAGTAATACACAGCCACCAGGACCAAAATTATCAGTATGCGATGGGCCAGAGAGCAACTGTGCCCATTCAGCTTCCTCTAGATGCCTTCTACTGAGGCTTTGAAGACTGGATCCATCTGGTGAAGTCTTGGGGTGTTGGAGATATCCTTAGGTGCAGGCCTCCCAGCTCAACCACAGTGGGGACCAGGTGCGGACTGACAACTCACAAGTTCCCAAATGGTCAGTCCGCCCCTGTTGGGGACTTGGATGAACAGTAACAAGACTTAGTGGAACCTTCACTAAAGGAGGGGTAGCCACTGCCACCCAGACAGGTAGAATCCCTTCAACGGGAGAATCCTACTGTTCTGGACTAAACACTATTTATCAGCCTCCCAGCCATCTACTGTGACACCCTACCTCTCCCAGGGACTGGCTTGTACCTGATAAATATTAAGCTACCTATTTGACTCTCCCCTCCCTATGTTCCAGAAGCCTCTAGAAAGGAGGGAATAGTCAAACCTGTAACCTGAGAGACCCAGACCAGCCCAAAGAAGTCAACAGCCACTCCAATGGCTTCAAAAGAGCCAAAAAGAACTACATTTACCTAATACCCTAGCAGCCTATCAAGGAGGATGCTACGTAGATTTTTTTTTAGGGGGAACCCACTTATTTAATTTTTTTTTGCCTGTGGTCCCCTTCTAAATCAGTATCAAGGATTTTACGCCTCGTCACACAGAATTGGATGAACGCCCATGTTCATAAGGCCCTGGGTACAACGGAGCTAGGAGGCAAAGAATGGGCACAAGGCAGTAAACCCATTCTCTATGGCATGTGTGTTAGCAGTGGGGGAGGGGTGCCAAAGGTGTAGCTAGGATATTTTGTGCCCAGGGACGAACTATAAAAATGGCGCCCCAGCCCCCCTCCCCGTTTAATCACATCAGTGACACCAATGACGGGGCACTATTCCTCCCACTGACACCAATGATGGGGCACTATTCCTCCCACTGATACCAATGATGGGGCACTATTCCTCCCACTGACACCAATGATGGGGCACTATTCCTCCCACTGACACCAAGGATGGGGCACTATTCCTCCCACTGACACCAATGATGGGGCACTATTCCTCCCACTGACACCAATGATGGGGCACTATTCCTCCCACTGACACCAATGATGGGGCACTATTCCTCCCACTGACACCAATGATGGGGCACTATTCCTCCCACTGACACCAATGATGGGGCACTATTCCTCCCACTGACACCAATGATGGGGCACTATTCCTCCCACTGATACCAATGATGGGCACTATTCCTCCCACTGATACCAATGATGAGGGCGCTATTCCTCCCACTGACACCAATGATGGGGCACTATTCCTCCCACTGACACCAATGATGGGGCACTATTCCTCCCACTGATACCAATGATGGGGCACTATTCCTCCCACTGACACCAATGATGGGGCACTATTCCTCCCACTGATACCAATGATGGGCACTATTCCTCCCACTGATACCAATGATGGGGCACTATTCCTCCCACTGACACCAATGATGGGGCACTATTCCTCCCACTGACACCAATGATGGGGCACTATTCCTCCCACTGACACCAATGATGGGGCACTATTCCTCCCACTGACACCAATGATGGGGCACTATTCCTCCCACTGACACCAATGATGGGACACTATTCCTCCCACTGACACCAATGATGGGGCACCATTCCTCCCACTGACACCAATGATGGGTCACTATTCCTCCCACTGACACCAATGATGGGACACTATTCCTCCCACTGACACCAATGATGGGACACTATTCCTCCCACTGATACCAATGATGGGCACTATTCCTCCCACTGACACCAATGATGGGGCACTATTCCTCCCACTGACACCAATGATGGGGCACTATTCCTCCCACTGACACCAATGATGGGACACTATTCCTCCCACTGACACCAATGATGGGGCACTATTCCTCCCACTGACACCAATGACACTTACCTTGCTGACCCCTGCTCTAGTCTAGGCTCCTTCCCTCTCCCATCCACAGCCAGCATACCTGGTTGCAGCAGCACCATCCGCACGGCACACTTACCAGTCAGCTGTCTTCTTCACTTGCTCCGGTCGCTCCCTCACTCGATCTTCGCGCTGCCGCTCGGCTCCTCCTCTCCAAGCTCCGCCTCCTCGCAGGTGATTGGCCGCCTGTGTGCCTTTCCTGAGTTCTGGTGCCCAATCACTGGTGAGGAGACGGAGCTTGCAGATGGAGGTACAAGCTGCCATAGGCTGTCCAGTGATCCCGACGGTGTGGCCAGATGACAGGGGCAGCATGTCATCCCGCCCATACATCGCGTCCAGGGAAAAGAAGACACCGGACCTGCGGACCTCTTTACCCCTCCTCCAGCAGCGCCTCCTGGACTGGATCGTCGTGGGACTGGGACACAGAGCCAGGTAAGACACAGCAGCTCGCTGCCCGCCCCTGTACTAAGTGTCCCGTGCCGCCCCCCCTAAAAAGTGCCGCCCTAGGCAAAAGCCTTGTTTGCCTCGCGGCAAATACGCCCCTGGCTGTAAGCCTCATTTTGGTGCCCCTGTACCTTGGCGCACGGGTACATATGTACCCCCCTGCCCCCCCCCCCCCCCCCCCTAGCTACGCCTCTGAGGGATGCAGTTCCACATCCTTGCCCTGGGCACTAGATGAACCTGTCCTGGTACTGCTTGCACAGCGCCATGTTCACCCGACTGATCTTTATTTAGGAATGTCATTTGATATGTAATTCAGTCGTACCGATTTATTAATCTGTAACAGTTCATAAACACGCCGTAATTAGAGCTAAAAACGTAATAAGATGTGATCACAGAATAAGAGGCACATTAATAGAAGCCATGATTCCTCTTTAGGTTTGAGGTTTCTCCGCGCTCTCAGACCGCCGAAACTTCTTCAAATTTTACGTCTGCTGAAAATAACCGCAGTCAGGTAAAATCAGAATTAAATGGAGTTTTCGTCTTCGTTGACCTATTACAGAGAAGACAAGACCTGAATTCCAAGTATCTCAGTCACAGAACACACATTGCACTCGGCCACATCACTAAATGTTAAGCCTCTTACTCCAGGATTTAGCAGCTTTGGGGTCTTTCTGGTTGGTGTTCTCATCTTCCAGTGTCAGGAAAGTCCTTAGGATAATACGCAGGTCACAGGCTCACATCACAACATGAATGCATGTCAGAGCCGGATCTAGGGGGGGTGCTGGGGTGGGCTTTCCACTCCCAGATTTTAATTGTGCCCCCCCCCAGATCTCTGAGAGTGCATCCACTGACCCATGAGTTAGTGTGATGAAGGCAGTAGATTGTAAGGGGGGAACTCTTATGGGGGCAATCAATGTGAGGTGGCACTCTGATGGGGACACCTGATGTAAGGGGGCACTCTGATGGGGACACCTGATGCAAGGGGGCACACTGATGGGGACATCTGATGTAAGGGGGTACTCTGATGGGGACACCTGATGCAAGAAGGGCACTCTGATGGGGACACCTGATGCAAGGGGGCACTCTGATGGGGACATCTGATGTAATAGGGCACTCTGATGGGGACACCTGATGCAAGGGGGCACTCTGATGGGGACACCTGATGTAAGGGGGCACTCTGATGGGGACATCTGATGTAATAGGGCAATCTGATGGGGACACCTGATGCAAGGGGGCACTCTGATGGGGACACCTGATGCAAGGGGGCACTCTGATGGGGACACCTGATACAAGAGTGGCACTCTGATGGGGACACCTGATGTAAGGGGGCACTCTGATGGGGACACCTGATGTAAGGACATACTTGGATGGGGAACCTGATGTAAGGACATACTTGGATGGGGAACCTGATGTAAGGGGGGACTCAAATGGGGACACTTGATGTAAGGGGGAATTCTGATGGGAATCCTAATGTAAGGGGGTACTTTGGTGGGAATCCTAATGTAAGGGGGCACTCTGCTGGGGATCCTAATGTAAGGAGGCACTCTGATGCAAGGGGAACTTTGATGGGGACACCTGATGTAACAACGTACTTTGATGGGGATTCTGATGTAAGAGGGCATTCTGATGGGATCCTGATGTGAGGGGGTACTTTGGTGGGGATCCTAATGTAAGGGGGCACTCTGATGGGGACACCTGATGTAAGGGGGCATTCTGATGGGGATCTTGATTTAAGGGGGAACTTTGATGGGGACACCTGATGTAAGGACATACTTTGATGGGGATCCTGATGTAAGGGGGCACTCTGGTGGGGATCCTAATGTAAGGGGACACTCTGATGGGGATGTCACCTGATGTAAGAGGGCACTTTGGTGTGGACACCTGATGTAAGGTGGCACTCTGATGGGAATCTGATGTAAAGGGGGACTCTGATGGGACATCATATTGGGATATTATATCGGATATAAGGGGGTACAGGTTTTGTTTAATCACCCTAACCTAATGAAAATCTAATCCATAATAGTGTTCCCCACATCATGACACAGACAGACTGTCAGTGACTCACACACAGGGTTGATATTACGCCCCCAGACTTTTTTATAACTGCACCCCCAGATCAGATAGTCGAAGTCCATCACTGAGAGAGGGCGATTGAAGTCCATGTTCTGCATAGGCTCATTGCTAAACAATCTTCTAGTCCGTGTTCCTGCAATTCTTGATCCTGAACTTGCGGCTCCCCTCATTACTGATCAGTAACATAAGATGGCTTTATAGCGCAAACACCGCTAGTAGCCTAAAAGTAGTAGAAACTGAACACAATTCACAAGTCCACACAAGGAAAGCTTGCTTGGCCCCAGAGCAGCTCCTCTCCAGATTGAAGGTTATCTGTAATAGAGTAAAATGGAGACCAGAGGGCGCTTCTAAGTGCAGCAAGTTAGTGTCTTATCAAAGCAGACTTTTTCACCCTAACATGTTTCCTCTTCTGCATCCCCCATCCCCCCTTCGTTTTTTTTTCCTCTCCTTTTGCTTATGTACCTTTTTGTCAGCATCCATTTCTTCCCAGCCCCCTCCTCTCTCATTTGCCTAAGTGAATGTTGTCAGTGCCCCCTGGTGCCTCTGGGGTATATGACATGAACATCCCAGGAGGCGCCAGGAGCATCCATTAACCAAAGCGGGAGGTGGAGGGCCCAGATGTGGGGCCATTGGGAAGTGTGGCTGTGCCTCCCGATGACATCCCAGAAGAAGACGGTTTGGTGGGACCCATGTGCCAGCTACATGGAAGGGGATCTCAGCGACCTGAACGCTGGATCCGCAAGGGAGGTTGGGCGAGTATCTTTCCTGTGCAGAACACCCCATCATGTAGGCAAAGGGGAAAAAAAAGAGAGGATTAGGGTAAAAAGCAGAATCAAAGTCAAGAACAGGCAGAGGTTGGCAATATGCAGGCAGTGAGGCACCAATCAAACAAGCAGAATCTTGGTCGGGCCAGGGTTCATTTGCGGGTTGAACAGCATTCATGAGCACATAAGAAGGATCCAAAAGCAGGTCAGATGGAAGCCAGGCCAGAACAAAGTAAGATGGACATCAGATGGCGCTTCTAAGTGTGGCAAGTTAGTGTTCCTAAAAATAGTGAAAAATTAAAAAATCAGTTGGTGAAAGAAGAGCGCTCCAAAATTCCAATAGAGAAGTGTAGGAAACTCATTCTTCATGGTTACAGGAAGCCAAAATCCTTCTGGGAGAATGTGCCGTGGAAAGACAAAACCAAAAGACAGCTTTTTGGTAAAGCCCATCATTCTAACTGTTGTCAGAAAAAGCAATGAGGCCTTTAAAGAAAAGAATCCAGTCCCTCCAGTCACACAGATGGTGGGGGGGAGTCACAGTCCCTCCAGTCCACACATAGTGTTGGGGGTCACAGTCCCTCCAGTCACACATGGTGGGGGGTCACTGATGGTTTGGGGTTGCTTTGCTGCTTCAGGCATTGGGAAGTCTTGGCCGTGTACATGGCAGTATGAAATTTAAGACTACCAAAGAATTCTGGGGGGCAATGTAGGGCCCGGGGTCAGAAAGTTGGGTCTCCGTCAGAGGTCATGGGTCTTCCAGCAGGACAATGACCCAAAGCGCACGTCAAAAAGCCCCCAGAAATGGTTTCAGACAAAGCGCTGGAGAGGACCGAAATGGTCAGCAATGAGTCCAGATCCCAATCCCATAGAGCTCCTGTGGAGAGATCTCAATACAGCAGTTGGGAAAAGGAACCCTTCCAATCCGAGAGACCTGGAGCAGTTGGGGAAAGAAGAGCGATCCACAATTCCAGTAGAGAGGTGGAAGAAACTTATTGATGGTGACAGGAAGCCAAAACCCTTCTGGGAGAATGTGCTGTGGACAGACGAAACAAAATGGCAGCTTTTTGGGAAATCCCATCATTCTACTGTTGTCAGAAAAAGCAATGAGGTCTTTAAAGAAAAGAATGCAGTCCCTCCAGTCACACATGGGGGGGTCACAGTCCCTCCAGTCACACATGGTGGGGGGTCACTGATGGTTTGGGGTTGCTTTGCTGCTTCAGGCAATGGATGTCTTGGCCATGTGCATGGCATTTGAAAGACTACCAAAGAATTCTGGGGGGGCAATGTAGGGCCCATTATCAGAAAGTTGGGTCTCCGTCAGAGGTCAGGGGTCTTCCAGCAGGACAATGACCCAAAGCACACATCAAAAAGCCCCCAAAATGGTTTCAGACAAAAGCGCTGTAGAGGACTGAACTGGCCAGCAATGAGTCCAGATCTCCATCCCATAGAGCTCCTGTGGAGAGATCTCAGACCAGCAGGTGGGAAAAGGAACCTTCCAATCTGAGAGACCCGGAGCAGTTGGAGGAAGAAGAGCGATCCAAAATTCTAGTAGGGAGGTGGAGGAAACTCATTGATGGTCACAGGAAACCATTGATTTCAGTGATGTTTTTCCAAGGGGTGTGCTGACAAATATTAACTTGAGGGTGCCAATAATTTTGTCCAGTCCATTTTTGGGGTTTTTGGTGGAATGTGTCAGATTTGGATTTTTATTTCTTCACTTTTTTGTGTCATATCAATACAAACAAAAGAGATAAACATGAGAATGCCGAAACATTTGTCATTGCAACAATTTTCTGGTTGTAGTGGTGCGTTTTCTGACAGAAATGCGGGGGGGGGGGGGGCAAGATTTTTTGGCCACTATGGAGGGGTGCCCCCGGGGCCCCCCACAGGGTATATCTTGCATTAAGAGCATTTCGTTTCTGTGACTCATGAACAAAGCTCTTTGGTAGACTGTGCTGCCAGAACACATTGAAGAAAAGTAAAGAATGGTATTTCAGGACGTAGGGGTGACCTGACCCTGGTGCCCACAGATTGGCCCCAAGCAGGGGCGGACTGACCATTCGAGCACTGCCCGAGGGCCCGGGGTCAGTAGGGGGCCCCATGTAATGCCCCTGGTACCTTTTTTTTTATAGGCTTATTTGGGTGTGCTTTGAGTGTGGGCAAGGACACAGGGGCCCCATGATCCCCTACTGCCCAGGGGCCCCGTGAGTTGTCAGTCCGCCCCTGGCCCCAAGCCTCATTTTATAGACCTGGTGAGTTTGGGAACCTCCGATGAACCATCAAGTGTAGGATCTGCTTTTATTCATGGTGTGTGATTAGCGGCATAGAGATAAGAGCCGTGAATTCCACCCCAAACTCTTCAGCAGGTGTCAGCTGCAAAACAGCCAACCGCCAACGAGACAGAAAAGGGAAATCAGGGGCCCGCATTCTTCCAGCTAATCAAGCACATTTATTAAAAGTTTCAGCTCTGTAAGAAGTGGCTCTGCCAGAACATTCTGGAAGCATACGGCACTAAATAATCAGACAGTGACAGACACTTTTCTTTCAAAACCTTTCCAATCATGTGAAAAACATCAGATTGCATTTACTAAAATCATCTTCAATAGAGAGCTTCTAGCTGAACAGAATCCCCCCCCCCCCCCCCCCCCCTCCAAGATCATCATTATTTGCATGTCTTTTCCTGATCCTCGTCTAATGAAAGTTCAGTTTTGTTTTCTATTGTAGCGGCCAAGGCTTCCTTACCATTATTATTTATATTATTACCTCCCTCATCATCTCACATCTGGACTACTGCAACTCCCTCCTCACTGGCCTCCCTCATCATCTCACATCTGGACTACTGCAACTCCCTCCTCACTGGCCTTCCTCATCATCTCCCGCCTGGACTACCGCAACTCCCTCCTCACCGGCCTCCCTCATCATCTCACGCCTGGACTACTGCAACTCCCTCCTCACCGGCCTCCCTCATCATCTCACGCCTGGACTACGCAACTCCCTCCTCACCGGCCTCCCTCGTCATCTCACGCCTGGACTACTGCAACTCCCTCCTCACCGGCCTCCCTCGTCATCTCACGCTTGGACTACTGCAACTCCCTCCTCACCGGCCTCCTCGTCATCTCACGCCTGGACTACTGCAACTCCCTCCTCACCGGCCTCCCTCGTCATCTCACGCCTGGACTACTGCAACTCCCTCCTCACTGGCCTACCCAACCGAACGCTATCCCCACTCCAGTCTATCCTGAACTCAGCGGCCAGACTCATCCACCTCACCAACCGCTCCACATCTGCCTCCCCCCTCTGCCAATCCCTCCACTGGCTCCCGATTGCCCAACACATCAAATTCAAACTGCTAACTCTGACCTACAAAGCCATTCACAACGCCGCCCCAAACTACCTAACTGACCTGATACCCCAAAATACTACCCTACCCGTGTCCTCCCCTCCTCACAGGACCTCCTACTCTCCAGCTCCCTGGTCTCCTCCTCCCACGCCCGATTGCAGGACTTCTCCAGGACTTCCCCCATCCTCTGGAACTCCCTACCCCAATCCATCAGACTGTCACCTACCCTCCTCACCTTCAGACGCACCCTGAAAACCCATCTCTTCAGGGAAGCCTACCCAAACCTCACCTAACACCCGACCTCACCTAACAACTAACCTCCTCCACTCCTCCCACCACTCCATCCCCCACACTCCCACCACTCCATCCCCCACAGCCATCTCCTCCTGTACCACTATCCCCTCCCTCCTAGACTGTAAGCTCGAAAGAGCAGGGCCCTCGATCCCCTCATGTATTGTATTGTTACTGTATTGTCTCATGTTCTGTCCCTCTCGCTACTGTACAGAGGGATTAGAGGGCCTGATCCTTGGAGCTTACAATCTAGGAGGGAGGGGTGAATGGTACAGTAGGTAGTCACTGTGGGGGATGGAGTGGTTGGAAGAGTGGAGGATTCCAGAATCAGCAGAGGGCAGGATAGGCTTCCCTGAAGAGATCGGTTTTCAGTGATCACCTAAAGGCAAGTAGAGTAGGTGAGAGTCTGATAGGTTGGAGTAGGGAGTTCCAGAGGATAGATGACGCCCTGGAGAAGTCTTGGAGACGAGCGTGGGAGGAGGAGATAAGGGAGCTAGAGAGCAGGAGTCTTGCGAGGAGCGGAGTGTATGGTTTGCGTGATATTTAGAGATAAGAACCATGCGTTGTATGTCCCGTAACGTCCATTTCTCCCCCATTCACACTCCATGGTCTCCAAAAAAAAAAAAAGAAACCTTCACCAAAGGAAAGATCACCCAACCAAATGATACGAGTCCAAAAGAATTCATTAAAAATATGGTGCAGCGCTAAGATCATTAGTAATATGAATAAAAGTCCATAAACGAATAAATGCATAAAAACAACATATATAAATAGTTCAAAAGGTAACTCCAGCGCTCCTGAAGTGCCAGTATAATCTTGATGAATCGGTGCTTGTGCAGTAATTGTGGTAAAATTGCGCACTCACCGGACGCGCAATGTAATTGCGCATATAAGTATTAATCCAGATGTCATCGGTAGGGTAGATAGTGCAGTGGTTTCCCTCTGAGGATGGGATGGGGCATCAAGTGGATTCTGGGGTTTTAAATGGAGATCCAAAAGGCAGCCAGCGTTCTCCTTAACCACTTCCTGTCCGGCCGTTGTATATAAATGGTCGGACGGTGGCAGTGCAGGGGCAGGTGGCTGTTTATAAACGGCCTCCCCGCACCCTGCTTGTGCGCACTCCCTGGGAGCACGCAGCACCGCGATCCGGTGCCCGCTGTGTCCTCCAGACACAATGAAACACTGATCGTCGGACAGACTTTTGTACGAGGTCCCGATTATGTGATCACTGATTGTCCGGACTGGAAGGGGGCGAAAGCGTCCGGACTGGAAGGGGGGGAAAGTGTCCAGACTGGAAGGGGGGGAAAGTGTCCGGACTGGAAGGGGGGAAAGTGTCCGGACTGGAAGGGGGGGGAAAAATGTCCGGACTGGAAGGGGGGGAAAGTGTCCGGACTGGAAGGGGGAAAGTGTCCGGACTGGAAGGGGGGAAAGTGTCCGGACTGGAAGGGGGGAAAGTGTCCGGGGAAGGGGGGAAAGTGTCCGGACTGGAAGGGGGTAAAAGTGTCCGGACTGAAGGGGAAGGACTGGAAGGGGGGGAAAGTGTCCGGACTAGAAGGGGGAAAGTGTCCGGACTGGAAGGGGGGGGGGTCCGGAAAAGTGTCCGGACTGGAAGGGGGGTGGGGTGGTGAAAGTGTCCTGGACTGGAAGGGGGGGTGAAAGCGTCCGGACTGGAAGGGGGGGGAAAGCGTCCGGACTGGAAAGGGGGGGTGAAAGCGTCCGGACTGGAAGGGGGTGAAAGCGTCCGGACTGGAAGGGGGGGGGGAAAGCGTCCGGACTGGAAGGGGGTGAAAGTGTCCGGACTGGAAGGGGGGTGAAAGCGTCCGGACTGGAAGGGGGTGAAAGCGTCCGGACTGGAAGGGGGGAAAGTGTCCGGACTGGAAGGGGGGAAAGCGTCCGGACTGGAAGGGGGGAAAGTGTCTGGACTGGAAGGGGGGGGGGAAATGTCCGGACTGGAAGGGGGGGAAAGTGTCCGGACTGGAAGGGGGGGGAAGTGTCCAGACTGGGGGGGGAAAGTGTCCGGACTGGAAGGGGGGAAAAGTGTCCGGACTGGAAGGGGGGGTGGGAAGGGGGGTAAAGTGTCCGGACTGGAAGGGGGGAAAGTGTCCGGACTGGAAGAAGGGGGGAAAGTGTCCGGACTGGAAGGGGGTGAAAGTGTCCCGGACTGGAAGGGGGTGAAAGTGTCCGGACTGGAAGGGGGGGAAAGTGTCCGGACTGGAAGGGGGGAAAGTGTCCGGACTGGAAGGGGGGGAAAGTGTCCGGACTGGAAGGGGGGAAATGTCCGGACTGGAAGGGGGGAAAGTGTCCGGACTGGAAGGGGGGGAAAGTGTCCGGACTGGAAGGGGGGAAAGTGTCCGGACTGGAAGGGGGGGAAGTGTCCGGACTGGAAGGGGGGGTGAAAGTGTCCGGACTGGGGGGGGAAAGTGTCCGGACTGGAAGGGGGGGAAAGTGTCCGGACTGGAAGGGGGGGAAAGTGTCCGGACTGGAAGGGGGGGAAAGTGTCCGGACTGGAAGGGGGGGGAAAGTGTCCGGACTGGAAGGGGGGGAAAGTGTCCGGACTGGAAGTGCTTAAGGGCTGGATAGGTGCTGCTCTCAGCTTGTGCAGGAGGCTCCCTCTCTGGTTCCTGGGAATGGATCTGATGTGGGGCGTCTGAAATTCAATACTTCCTCAGGGAGTTCAGAGACAGAAATATGCTCATAGTGTCATATTTATAAACAAATATTTATTGGGGGATAAAGTGATAAAATGATGCATCAACAGATAATAGCGATAAGATCAAAATTAGCCAGGACTAACCGTCCACATATAAAGATGGCCGCCCGGAGCTCCACGATGCTCCGGCGGCATGACGTCACGGCGCAATTGGCTCCTCCTACGCGTTTCGTGCACGTCTTCAGGGGGGTTGGCCACCTATTAGAGTGCGCTCACATACTTTTCCATTTTGCAAAAGAATTAATTGGTTTTCTCCAAAAGACATCCATCATGTTGTTTTTTTTTGGGGGGGGGGGGGCAGGAAATACTCGCTCTTCACCAGCGCTTTTCTTATTTCCAGTCTATTCAGGTTTCTGATTTAAATTGAAGCCTTGAGGAAGGAGGGGTGTTTTCTGGCCCCTGAAATGCGTTGGTTGTCTTTTACTACAAACCAATACATTCATTGGACTCCTTATCCTTTGGTCTGGGATTTCACATTCCATGCATGTGTAGCGCTACCCTCTTGAGGGCCGCTGAGTTTTTGGGTCCCCCTAAGGTCTGCACAGCCAGGCAATTTGCATTTTCCAGCACTTACATCCACAGTCAGTAAAACAGTCCATGAGCTTTGGTTTTTTTGCTTTATTAGAGGTTAACAACTTGCATGGGGTTTAAGGGTATATATGCAGGGGTGTATTTAGGCTTTGTGCTGCCCTAGGCAACACAAAATTCAGCGCCCCCCCCCCCACAGAGAGAGCCTGACATTGACCAACACCCCTGCCTCCCACCTGAGAGCCTTCCACTACCACTGCCCCAATACACCAGCCACCATCCCCCATGGCGAGAGAAAGACACTCACCTTCACAGCTCCGGACATCCCCAGGAACAAGGGTCAGGCTGTGCATACACCATCATGAAACCCGCAACCTCTCTTGGAACCCACCAGGTCCCCGTGTACCTTCTTCTGTCCCTTCTTCTGAGGGGCAGTGCTGCCCCCCCTGAAAAATGCTGCCCTAGGCAAATGCCTTGTTTGCCTTGTGGTAAAGACACCCCTGGGTATATGGGATGCTATATATGGATTCTAAAAAAAACACAAAAAAGGCAAAACTAATCAGCATACAGTCTTTGCCAGGAGCACGTGGGCCCCTTAAATGAACCTCTTCAGACCCCCAGATGAAAATCTCCTCATGAACCTGGCTGTCTTGAGACTATCCCAGGGCAAGGGATTCTGGTATACACAGCTAATGTAGTCCCAGGGAGAACTAGTTGGGTGTTGCCCCTGACCGCCCTCTCCCTTGTGGGCCCGTGGGGGGTGTAGAGGTCCTCACACTGACCTGTTCCTGTAGCTTTAAAGGTTGAAGCTGCTTTCAGGCCTTACGCCTGGCCACAAAAAAAAAACAATTTTAGATGTCTCCATTCCCACCAACAGCCCTCTGGACCATCAGTGCTGCCTATATCACACACCCAGCTCCCTTCCCAGAGTCTCGGGCCCCCTCTTCCTCCTCCTGCTGAGCCGTGGTGCCCCTCATACACAATGCCATCCACTCCTGCACCACACAGGAACCGGTAGGTGAAGGCAGAGCACAGGGCGTGTAGGACAACCAGCGTCCCTTCTTCCAGGGGGGGGCAGGGGGGTCACCACCAGAGGCGGACTGACAACTCCTGGGGCCCCCGGGCAATAGGGGATCATGGGGCCCCTGTGTCCTTGCCCAAACTCAAAAAAGCCTATGAAAAAGGTACCAGGGGCATTTCATGGGGCCCCCTACTGCCCCCGGGCCCTCGGGCAGTGCCCGAGTTTCCAAATGGTCAGTTCGGACCCTGGTCACCACCCCCCTGAAAAATGCTGCCCAAGGCAAATGCCTTGCTTGCCTTTCGATAAATACACTCCTGATGATCTACATTTACAACAAGCAGTTCCTACATGCTAACTAGCAGCCTAACCTGAACCAGTGAGCTCACTACTTTTGGGTGATCTCACATCAAAGCCCCAGTGCCTCCTCGATGTTTTTGTTTTTCAATGGTGAATATACCCGGCGTGAGCTAAAATAAATGATGAAGATAACCAACTGACGTGTCTGTGTGGGAGTTCTAAGGCAATACAAGGAAGAGTGCAAGTAAAGCAAGTATGTCTTCTGAGTGTAAATGCTGGAATCTGAACAGTCTTGAAACCTAGGGTAGCACTACCCAGGGGCGTATTTAACACAAGGCCAACAAGGCACTTGCCTAGGGTGGCATTTTTCAGGGGGGCAGCCAGGGGCGGACTGACCATTTGGAAACTCGGGCACTGCCCGAGGGCCCGGGGTCAGTGCCCGAGTTTCCCCCTGGTACCTTTTTCATAGGCTTTTTTGAGTTTGGCCAAGGACACAGGGGCCCCATGATCCCCTATTGCCCGGGGGCCCCATGAGTTGTCAGTCCGCCCCTGGGGGCAGCACCTCCCCTCAGAAGAAGGGATGAAAGAAGGGACACGGGTGCCATGAGAACCAGGTGGGATCCAAGAGAGGCTGTGGGTTGCTTGATGGTGTATGTAGAGCCTAACTCTCAATCCCGGGGATGTCCAGAGCTTTGAAGATGGGTGTCTTTCTCTCTGTCACCAGGGGGCAGTAGTGGAAGGCTCTCCCGAGTGGAGGGCAGGGGTGCTGTTGGTCAATTTCAGACTCTCTCCGCAGGAGGGGGAAGGGTGGTGGTGTTGGTCGGTGTCCGTTGGGGCAGACAATTTTTATGTTGCCTAGGGCAGTGCAAAACTTAAATACACCCCTGGCACTACCCCCTTAGGAGTTGCTGAATTGTAGTAGATCTGGACCCCTCTCTGAAAGCCCGACCCCCGCTGACACCACAGTACACTCTTAGCTGAGATAGATCGCCCCCAGAAAGGGAACTCCAACACGGATTGACGTAGACTGAAGACGAGGTTTATGGCAATCTTCAGCATGGCTCGGTTACACAACATAAACAGGATGGGAATGCGTAAAATCGATTGTTGTGTCAGTATGAATGTAAGGGAAGGACAACACTTATCACAGAATCTCAGGTAGTATTAGCAGGCCTGCTTTTCAGAAACCAACCCAATACCTTCATCCCGAGGTGGTCTTACAGCCCCCAGTGAGCAGCTAGGACTATCACACAGGTAGACTAGCTCACTTTGGGTCCTCAGGACCTGATGGCAAGGAGATAGCCTGAAAGGCTCTTTACCCCAAAACAACCAATGTTCTTCAAAGGCAAGGAAGAGTCTTCTGCAAGCTTGATGGGGCCCAGTTGGTGCACAGTGAAGGGACGGGTGGACTGCGACTCTCTGAGGAACAGTGTAATAGAGAGAGGAGAATAACACCAATTTGCAGATGGAATGTTCCTTTAAGGTAGTAGTCACTGGCGAATCTAAAGCAGCAAGTGGCCAATCTGGTAAAAGTGGTAGTTGGCACAGAGCAACTCTTCTTTAGGGTACAAGAGTTTTGGCACAATAGGGAAAGGCCTCCTTAGTAGAGTGGATTGATGATGATGATGATGATGGTGACACAGCGGTGGTTCAGCCTGTGGACTGACTGTTTTGCTCTGATGATCAGGCTGTGCTAAGTGTGGTCAGACAATAGAGGCTGAAGGAACTAGGCTGCAACTTCGAGTAATTATGTGCAATGTCCGCCACTGTGTGCAGGGAAATAGCAGAGGTGGAGCAGGTGTCAGTGTTCCCTGTCCTTGATAATGCTTGGGACTCCCGAGGGATGGCATCTGGCGAATTCAGGTGGTCTCCTTCTCTCTCTCGATAAGGCCTCCACATACCCAGCAATCCATCCGGTCACCTGCTAGCACATTAGCTCTCTCCACGATGAGGCAAGATCAGCGATCAGCAGACTCTCCTTGCCGCCTCTCTTTCTCTGTTTCCACAGCCTGGTCCAGTCCTCCCGCAGTTAGCATACTCCTCCCTCCAGATCTCTACCCTCTAAGTCTCATCTCCCGGGCTTTCATATATATATACGCCCCAGTCCACACGCCAGCTCCTCTGGGCAATGTAGTTCTTTACTACACTATTCCTCAGCAAAGTCCTGCATTCAGCATACAAGTTCCATGGGGCCACTCTACAGAGGGTGAACGCCACTGCAGGACACCGCCATGTTGTGTTTGATTCTAACATCCGGCATCCTATTAGCAGGGTGATACACTAGCTATGATAGTCTCCAGACCAATTCCTTGCTCCTTGAGGGGCCCCTTGCGTTCTAATCCCAGACTATATATGGGGTTTCAACTTTGGCCCAAGATGAGATTAAAGAGGAGCATGGAAGCCAGGGGGCAAGGACTAGTCACCAGTGTTGCCTATGGTCTCGCTGCAGCTCACTTTTTTCCATTACTGTACCTTGTGCACCTCTGTTTGGAGGCAGCTATCTTGGTAAAGGCAGGGCTTTGCTTCCTCGTGTCAGTGCTTTCAGCAAAGAGAACACTGAGCATTATTATTTATTTTACTTCAGGTACTTATATAGTGCCGTCAATTTACACAGCGCTTTACAGATAAATTGTACATTCACATCAGTCCCTAACCCTCAAGGGGCGTACAATCTAAGGTCCCTAACCCTCAAGGGGCGTACAATCTAAGGTCCCTAACCCTCAAGGGGCGTACAATCTAAGGTCCCTAACCCTCAAGGGGCATACAATCTAAGGTCTCTAACCCTCAAGGGGTGTACAATCTAAGGTCCCTAACCCTCAAGGGGCGTACAATCTAAGGTCCCTAACCCTCAAGGGGCGTACAATCTAAGGTCCCTAACCCTCAAGGGGCGTACAATCTAAAGTCCCTAACCCTCAAGGGGCATACAATCTAAGGTCCCTAACATTCAAGGGGTGTACAATCTATGGTCCCTAACCCTCAAGGGGCATACAATCTAAGGTCCCTAACCCTCAAGGGGTGTACAATCTAAGGTCCCTAACCCTCAAGGGGCGTACAAGCTATGGTCCCTAACCCTCAAGGGGCGTACAGTCTAAGGTACAATAGTAACCTCACCAAACACCAGCCCAACCAGTTCCTGGCCCAGGTGCCCAACACTGACCACCGCTGTCTATTACTGTGTGTATGGATGGTGGGTTCTAAAACCCCATTATGTACCCCGCCCTTGTCTACGGAAGTACTGACCTCAACCGGGAACTATTTATCAGCAAGGCCTTGCATTTATTGTGGCACCAGGCTAGCGTTCTGGGGGTCTGATCCTCGCCTGAGGACATGGGGGTCCAGGTCACCTGATTGTGATTGAGAGGTCCCTCTTACAAACCTGGATGTTACCTCCTAAAAGCAGCATGGATAGCATCACTGTTTATAGCCTGTGTGGAGAGTAGATCTATGGGAGGGGGCCCAGAAGGCGGCCGCCCACATACAGGATGCCTGCAGAAAATGTAACCAGCCCTCCAAGGGCAAGTTCTGACATTTCCCTTCTACGTAAAAATCTGTATTATTTTCTTGCTAGAAAATTACTTTAGAACCCCAACAAATCAGGGGCGGACTGACCATTTGGTCAGGCAGTGCCCGAGGGCCCGGGGTCAGTAGGGGGCCCCATGAGATGCCCCTGGTACCTTTTTCATAGGCTTTTTTGAGTTTGGGCAAGGACACAGGGGCCCCATGATCCCCTATTGCCCGGGGGCCCCATGTGTTGTCAGTCCACCCCTGCCCCAATCATTATACAGTTGTGGCCAAAATTATTCAACCCCCATGCTGTAAAGGGGTTTAGGGATATAGTGTACATTTGGAATTGTATTCAGAATCAAATCCTACAAGGACGTTGTAACTACCCAAATGCAACTAAAATGACATCAATTGTTTATGTTAATACAGTAGTAAATGGTTCTTTATGTGGTTTTTCATTGCCACAATTATTCAACCCCGGGACTACCACTCTGAAGAACAGAGGTTCATACAGGTGCTTTCCATCAGGTATTGAAAACACCTGTGGATGTCACCGAGCAGCAATCAAGCATAATAAGCACCAATTAGGCAGCTTTAAAATGACTGTGATACTCAGCTCCTTCTAGACATTTACCTGAGTTACAAACATGGTGAAGGCAAGAGAATGGTCCAGGAAGACAAGAGAAGAGGTGGTGATTTCTCTTGAAGGGCAATTGCTATAAGAGATTGCAAAGATGTTCATACAAGAACACCTAGGAAGCATCATTCGCAAATTCTAAAAGCAGCAAAGCATCACTGTTGAAACGCTACCTGGTCGTGGCAGAAAGAAGATGCTGACTTCGACTGCTGTGCGCTACCTGAAGCGTAGAGTGGAGAGAAGTCCCGTGTGACTGCTGAGGAACTGAGAAAAGATTTGCGCCAGCCCAGACAATACACACTGGTAATGAATGCCAGAACTCCCAGGCGTACCCCCTTGCTGCAGAAAAGAAGAGTCGAAGTATGCCAAAAGCCATGTGGACAAACCACACAAAATGGGGGGATAGTGTTCTGTCTGATGACAAAATTAGAATTTCCCTGGATCAACGCTATGTTTGGAGGAGGAAGAACAACTATGATGAAAAAACACCTTGCCTACTGTGAAGCATTCATGCTTTGGGGGCTGTTTTTTCTTACAGGGAAGCTCAGAGGTGGGGCAATTACCATGAATTTCTTCAGTACCAGGAAGATATTGGATGGAAACGTGATGCAGTCCGTCACACACCTGAGGCTTGGGAGACGTTGGACCCTTTCAGGGGACAATGATCCCAAGAGTCCACTGAGCATTTGGAAACTCAGGCAGTGCCCGATTGAGGCCCTGGGGGTCAGTTAGTGGGGGCCCCCATGAGATGCCCCTCGCTTAGACACTTTTTCATAGGTTTAAAAGCTTTATTGAGTTTGGGCAAGTACATTGGGCCCCCTTGGGGGGTTGAATCCCTGATAATGCTGTGAGCCAGAAAAGACATTTGTGGTTATTTCATTATAACTGTTATGTTATATTTGTCTGACCTACAGAGTTGTGCCCTTTGTAAGCCCCAATCATGGGGGTTGAATAATTTGGCCACAACTGTATATATATATTAGCAGAGGCCCTGGAGAATAAAATGGTGGGTGCTGCAATCTTGTATGCAACACGGAAGTTTTTCAAATGCAAATTTTTTTTGGGAAAAAAATACACTTAAATGAATTTTATTTCACATAAACACTATATTATACCTCGTTTTGTTATATTTTTGTATTATTTTGTTTATATTTTGTTAAAATATAAAAGATGATGTAGGCTCTGCGATTGGATGGGATAGCCTGGGAAAAAGGGGGGACAACATTCCCCCAACTGCAGAGGTGATCATGTGGTTGTTCAGCCACTCGAATCGCTTCAGCTGAAAAGAGAATTGCCGGCTGAAAATGATGCACACCACTTCAACCCGAGGATGTCGTATGAAGTCCTATGGGTGGGAATTGGTTAAGGAGGGGGCGGAGACGAGACCAGTCACCCTAGCACAAGGAGAGACACAGAGAGCAGAGATGTGGGAGGGGCCCAGCAGGCTCCACCCCCTACAGAAAACTACAGGAGGGAGCGGAGACCAGACCAGTCACCCTAGCACAAGGAGAGACACAGAGAGCAGAGATGTGGGAGGGGCCCAGCAGGCTCCACTCCCTACAGAAAACTACAGGAGGGAGCGGAGACCAGACCAGTCACCCTAGCACAAGGAGAGACACAGAGAGCAGAGATGTGGGAGGGGCCCAGCAGGCTCCACCCCCTACAGAAAACTACAGGAGGGAGCGGAGACCAGACCAGTCACCCTAGCACAAGGAGAGACACAGAGAGCAGAGATGTGGGAGGGGCCCAGCAGGCTCCACTCCCTACAGAAAACTACAGGAGGGAGCGGAGACCAGACCAGTCACCCTAGCACAAGGAGAGACACAGAGAGCAGAGATGTGGGAGGGGTCCAGCAGGCTCGACCCACTACAGAAAACTGCAGGAGGGGGCGGAGACCAGACCAGTTGCCCTAACACAAGGAGAGACAAAGAGAGAGAGAGAGAGCGATCAGAGCTGTGGGAGGGGACCAGCAGGCTCCACCCACTACAGAAAACTACAGGAGGGGGCGGAGACCAGACCAGTCACCCTAGCACAAGGAGAGACAAAGAGAGAGCACAGATGTGGGAGGGGCCCAGCAGGCTCCACCCACTACAGAAAACTACAGGAGGGGGCGGAGACCAGACCAGTCACCCTAGCACAAGGAGAGACAGAGCAGAGCTGTGGGAGGGGACCAGCAGGCTCCACCCACTACAGAAAACTACAGGAGGGGGCGGAGACCAGACCAGTCACCTTAGCACAAGGAGAGACAGAAAGAGCAGAGATGTGGGAGGGGCCCAGCAGACCCCACCCACTACAGAAAACTACAGGAGGGGGCGGAGACCAGACCAGTCTCCCTAGCATTATGAGAGACAGAAAGCGAGAGCGATCAGAGCTTGGGAGGGGACCAGCAGGCTCCACCCACTACAGGCTGCTTGTAGAAAACTACAGAAGGGGCGGAGACTAGGCCAGTCGCCCTAGCACAAGGAGAGATAGACTGAGCAGAGCTGTGGGAGGAGATCAGTAGGCTCCACCCACCACAGAAACTACAGAATGGGTGGAGACCAGACCAGTCACCCTAGCACAAGGGAAGATAGACTGAGCAGAGCTGTGGGAGGGGATCAGCAGGCTCCCCCCACCACAAAAAACTACATGAGGGGGTGGAGACCAGACCAGACACCCTAGCACAAGCAGAGACAGAGCGAGCGAGCAGAGCTGTGGGAGGAGACCAGCAGGCTCGACCCACCACAGAAAACTACAGAAGGGGGCGGAGACCAGACCAGTCCCCCTACACAAGGAGAGAAAGCAGCAGTGAGTGGTCTTTATTCCAGGAAGTCTCACACTGGATTCCTGCACAGATCTGGAAGGAATACACAGAGATCACCGAGATTCCCGATGAAGTCACACAATACGATCGATGGATTTATTATCCGTATATTATGCAGTCCGTATTTTACAGTCGGTATGTGCCTACAGCTGGCCCGGTATTCTGGAACTTCTCCGACATCTGGGAGACGTATGTTGCCTTCTACATGCGTGTACATAGAATGCGTGGAGGGACTGCGGAGCGCTTGTTGGGGTCTGACATTCTAGAGGACGTAAAGTAGAGTCACAGTGCCCCCTACTGTCCAATCCTCCCGCCACCACACTCCCCGCAGAGGAAATCGTCTCTGCAGAGCCAAATATTCTTCCATCAAGTATCAGAGCAATATAGACTCCCATTTGTACCGGATTCCTCCTCCGTGCGTCACCAGCGATTCTCTGTATAAATCTAGAGACGTGATTGGTCGTCTGAATGTAGAGCCGTCTATGACCGCAGCGCCATCCAACTCCAAGAAATCCTCCCCCGCCGGATGATGGCGGCCGGATTTATTCACCTAATAAATGTGTCTTCTTCTCCGAGATCGCAGAGATGTCCGCGTTACTCGCTGGTACGCCGAAATTGTTACTTTATACCAGGGGCGGACTGACCATTGGGAAACTCGAGCACTGCCTGAGGGCCCGGGGTCAGTAGGGGGCCCCATGAGATGCCCCTGGTACCTTTTTCATAGGCTTTTTTGAGTTTGGCCAAGGACACAGGGGCCCCATGATCCCCTATTGCCCCATGAGTTGTCAGTCCACCCCTGGTGCTTTATACCTTTATCTGTCTGTAAGTCCCGATACCGTGTTGGTGAACACATGGGCATGCTTCCTCTTTTACCACCCCCCCCCCTCTCCCGTCTGTACCCCCCCCCATGGAGCAGAGCAGTTATTTCTGTTATGGATCCAATTTATTCGGCAACAACCTCATTACTTAACCCCTTTTAAGGATTTCAGAAGCCGGGAGGCGGGGCGGGGTTTAGGGTCACATGATCGGGAAAGGTCCCGATCGAAAGAGGAGATTGGGACCTTTCCGTGAGTACCGGACATGTGTGCTGGGAGGGGGCAGGGGCGCGCTCTCAGCACATGTGTTCTTTTTTAATAGAACGCAAATGTGTGGCTGCTCAGCGTCTAGGCCCAGACCCCGGGAGGACGCACATTTGCGTTCGGCCGCCGTGAAGACGTTAAAGAAGTGGTTTGCGATCCAGAGCTGCATCACTTTGACAATTGCGCGGTCATGCAACGCTGCACCCAAATAAAATTGATGCCCTTTTTTTTCCCACGAATAGAGCTTTCTTTCGGTGGTATTTGATCGCCTGTGCGGTTTTATTTTTTGCGCTATTAAAAAAAAAGAAGAACAGATTGGGACTTAACCCCTCCCCCTCCTGATGATCCCCCCCCTTCCCAACCAGGCCATTTTTTGCTTTACGGCGTTGGACTGACAATTGCGCGGTCATGCAATGCCACACCCAAATCAAATTTACAACCTTTTTTTCCCACAAATACAGATTTCTTTTGGTGGTATTTGATCGCCTGTGCGTTTTTTTTATTTTTTTGCGCTATTAAAAAAAAAGACCCATAATTTTGAGGGAAAAAAACAATATTTTAGACTTTTTGCTATTAAACATGTCCAGTAAAATTTAAAAAACAAAAAAAGAATAGATTGGGACTTAGCCCCTCCCCCTCCTGAGGATTCCCCCCCCCCCCCCCCCCTTCCTGACCAGGCCATTTTTTGCGTTCCGGCGTGTTGCTTTAACTGAAAATTGCGCGGTCATGCAACGCATCACCCAAATAAAATGTATGTCCTTTTTCCCCCACAAATGGAGCTTTCTTTCGGTGGTATTTGATCGCCTGTGCAGTTTTTGCGCTATAAAAAAAAAAGAATAATAGATTGGAACTTAACCCCTCCCCTCCTGAGGATCCCCCCCTCCTGACCGGGCCATTTTTTTGCAATACGGCGCTGAGTTACTTTAACTGACAATTGCGCGGTCATGCAACACTGCACGCAAATGAAATTTACATCCTTTTTCCCACTAATTGAGCTTTATTTTGGTGGTATTTGATCGCCTGTGCGGTTTATATTTTTTGCACTATAAAAAAAAAAAAAAACAGGACAATTTTGAGAAGAAAAACAATATTTTGGACTTTTTGTTATAAAACACATCCAGTAAAAAAGTGTAAAACTCAAATTTCATCATAAATTTCGGCCAAGATGTCTCCCGCTCCGTGTCTTCGCTAAAAAAAAAATCCCGATCCGTGTAAATTAATTGGTTTACATGAAACTCATAGCGTCTACAAATGGCGGGAGAGATACGGGGATTTTTATTTTTAAGACTAGTAATGGCGGCGATCAGTGACTTATAGCGGGACTGCGGTGGGCTTTCTTACACTGGGGGGGGGGGGGGGCTGACTTGGTGTCACTGACATCCCCAGTGACACCAATACAGTGATCAGTGCTAATAAAAAGCCCCGACACTGTACTAATGGCACTGGGCAAGAAGGGGTTAACATGAGGGGCGATCAAAGGGTTAACTGTGTGCTGGGAGTGTTTTACTTGGGGGCATGGTCTGTGTTACTAGGGGGCGGGGTCTGTGTCCTGTGTCTGTTGGCAAACCAAGCAGCCCCCCTCCCTATCGGTGATCACTGGGCGCCGGCTGGTAATCAGCGGCCAGGACTCGGTGATTGACACCCCCGGCCACGAATGGCGGTGCGCATCCCACTCGCGCCCCCTACCCAGAAATGCAAAATCATGTGTATATATACGTGATTTTGCGCACCCGTGCCGCCGTGTGGCGGTATATCTGCAATACTGAGCCGGGTAAGTGGTTAAAGTAGAACTAAAAGCAAATTTTTTTTTTCTAGTTTTGGATGGAGGGGAGGGATGAGACCCCCTGTCAGGTGTTATTGCTGTCTGTGCCCCCGTTACAGAGATCCCCCCCCCCTCTCTATTTATCCTGTTTATCACTGAAAATGAAAGTAAAAGAAAGTCCCACATTTTGGGTTGTCCCCAGAAAAGCAGTAGAGAGGAAAAAAAAAAATCCCCAGCGCATCATATCAATTGTTTTAGACTTCTTTTTTTTTACATTTATTAATTTACTTCCTGGTTTCCATGCCTAGGCAAATGATGTCATAAGTCCCAGGAGTCTTCAGGAGGGGTGGGAGGGTTCTCAGCTCAGCCTATGACTGAGCTAAGGGCAGATGAATTCCAGGAATTAACTGCTACATGAATCATCTGCCCTTACTCAAGATGGCCGTGGACAGAAATGCTGGGGGGGGGGGGGGGGGGGGTCAAAATGATTTCTCAGTAAAATAAAGCATGGAGACATGGATGGATGGAGACATGGTAGATAGATGGATGGATGGATGGAGACATGGAAGGATGGATGGATGGATGGGAGACATGTAGGGATGGATGGAGACATGGATGGATGGAGACGTATGGATGGGTGGATGGAGACATGTATGGATGGATGGAGATGGATGGATGGAGACATGGATGGATGGATGGAGACATGGATGGATGGGAGACATGGATGGATGGGATGGATAGATGGATGGATGGATGGGATGGAGACATGGATGGATGGATGGAGACATGGATGGATGGAGACATGGATGGATGGAGGATGGATGGATGGAGATGGATAGATGGATGGATGGAGACATGGATGGATGGATGGAGACATGGATGGATGGATGGAGACATGGATAGATGGATGGATGGAGACATGGATGGATGGATGGAGACATGGATAGATGGGTGGATGGAGACATGTATGGATGGATGGAGATATGTATGGATGGATGGATGGAGACATGGATGAATGGGTGGGTGGATGGATGGAGACATGGATGGATGGGTGGGTGGATGGATGGAGACATGGATGGGTGGGTGGGTGGATGGATGGAGACATAGATGGATGGGTGGGTGGATGGATGGAGACATGGATGGATGGGTGGGTGGATGGATGGAGACATGGATGGATGGGTGGGTGGATGGATGGAGACATGGATGGATGGGTGGGTGGATGGATGGAGACATGGATGGATGGGTGGGATGGATGGATGGAGACATGGATGGATGGGAGACATGGGTGGATGGATGGAGACATGGATGGATGGGTGGGTGGATGGATGGAGACATGGATGGATGGGTGGATGGATGGATGGATGGATGGTGGGTGGGTGGATGGAGACATAGATGGATGGATGGGTGGGTGGATGGATGGAGACATGGATGGATGGGTGGGTGGATGGATGGAGACATGGATGGATGGGTGGGTGGATGGATGGAGACATGGATGGATGGGTGGGTGGATGGATGGAGACATGGATGGATGGGTGGGTGGATGGATGGAGACATGGATGGATGGGTGGGTGGATGGATGGAGACATGGATGGATGGGTGGGTGGATGGATGGAGACATGGATGGATGGGTGGGATGGATGGATGGAGACATGGATGGATGGTGGGTGGATGGATGGAGACATGGATGGATGGGTGGGTGGATGGATGGAGACATGGATGGATGGGTGGGTGGATGGATGGAGACATGGATGGATGGGTGGGTGGATGGATGGAGACATGGATGGATGGGTGGGTGGATGGATGGAGACATGGATGGATGGGTGGGTGGATGGATGGAGACATGGATGGATGGGGTGGGTGGATGGATGGAGACATGGATGGATGGGTGGGTGGATGGATGGAGACATGGATGGATGGGTGGGTGGATGGATGGAGACATGGATGGGTGGGTGGGTGGATGGATGGAGACATAGATGGATGGGGGAGTTTGCTTTGAATATTAACCCCTTAACACCTGAGGGTAGAACAAATCTTAATGCCTAAGCACAATTTAGCAAATTTGACCCGTGTTAGTAAAACCGTCCGTATCATCACAATGACTTTGTACATCCCCGGGAACAAGAGTTGGGCTCTGCATACACCCACCAAGCAGCCCGCATCCCATTGGCGGACTGACAATTCATGGGGCCCCTGAGCAATAGGGGATCATGGGGGCCCCTGTGTCCTTGCCCAAACTCAAAAAGGCCTATGAAAAAAGTACCAGGGCCATCTCATGGGGCCCCCTATTGACCCTGGGCTCTCGGTTAGTGCCCGAGTTTCCAAATGGTCAGTCCGCCCCTGCCGCAGCCTTTCTCAGATCCCACCTGATCCCCTTGCTGCGTGTGTCCCTTCTTCCATCTTTTCCTTTGGGGGGGGGGGCGGCGCTGCCCCCTGAAAATAGCTGCTGCCCCCCTGTACAAGGCTTCTGCCCCCCTGAAAAATGCCGCCCTAGGCAAATGCCTTGTTTGCCTTGTGGTATATACACCCCTGGGCTCAGGTAAGGAATGGGGGGGCTGTGGGGGCATAGAATACATGAAGGTAGAAGAACGTTGGGCCTTTACAGCCACTTTCAGGTAACAATGTAACATACAGTATACATCTGAAGGACAGGCAAGGTTTTCTTTTCATGATGTTGTCCTGCGTGATTTTTTTTTTCCCCGCAATCCTTAGAAAACAAAAAACACAGCGAAACAAAACGCAATTTTTTTCGAGCAGTGTTATAATTGTGTCACCGCAGAGGAAAAGTGCGCATTTTATTCTGTCATTTGTCTTGTTTAAAATGACACTAAAATTATGATTCTGGTACAAAGAATGTCAGTTATTTACAAATAAAATTCAGCGATTTTTTTTTTTTTTATCTATTGTGCTCATTTTTAATGAAATGAGATTTTCTCAGTAATCTTCTATTGGATTGTCAGTTATAAAACAATCATTATTCCTATTACAATGCTGAGAGAAAGAACGTGAGAGCAGAGAACGCCTTTAACCCTTCGCTGCCA